ATGAAAAAAAAAACAGTTCAAGGTAAAATAAACTTAGTTAAAATGTATAGTTATAGTTTTCTTAGTTAAAATGCTGATTTATTGGCTTGTAAATCAACAGTGGAGTGTGTGGCTGTGGCACAGGACTAGACGGGATCTATGGAGCGTTCACTGAAACCTCAACGTCCTCAAGCAGATCACTGGAGCCTCAAACTGAAATAACTCGAGTCGCCTCATGCAACACGCTGCACTTTAATGAACTTCACTGCAGCGTCTAGTAATAATGCAGGGAATATTAATAATTACAATAGATGCTACATTATTTTGATTAATGCAAAAATAATCTATTTTAAGGTAGTTATTGGACAAATGGTACTAATTTGGCTAATTTAAAAGTTCTTTAGAGGTCAAATGTCAAGGTCAATCATCCATCTAAAAACATGCATACTCACAGCGCTCATTTTTTGTTTAATGTGTGCAAACAAGACCATAGGCTCTCCTGTCTGACATAAGTTCAGGAGGTCATATAGATTTAAAGTAGCTTTAGAGCTGAAAGTGGCTTAATACCGGTCATGAGTGAAGCGAAGGCCATGTGATGCTAAACTGATCGGCACATACTGAAACGCATCGCCCATAAACGCCTTGTATAACGATGCAAATGCAATTCCAAACGGCTGAAATGTTCGCAGAAGAATTTTGGCTGGTTATTAATGACAGGTGTGCTTTTTCTGGTTTGTTTTCTCATGCAGACGATGGCCGATCACGACCTGGTTCTGAAATGCTGGGGGGGCATCGAGGCCGACTTCGAGGGTCACGGAGGAGAAGTTCTGACCCGGTCAGTCCCGACGCGATCCTGATTAACGTCACTGTGGTCTGCTGAGGCCTGCCTGATGTTCTCTGTCTCTTCAGTTTGTTTAAGGAGCATCCGGAGACTCAGAAGCTGTTCCCAAAGTTCGTGGGCATCGCTCAGTCTGATCTGGCGGGAAACGCGGCGGTGGCGGCCCACGGCGCAACCGTGCTGAAGAAGCTGGGTGAGCTGCTGAAGGCCAGAGGAGATCACGCCGCCGTCCTCAAACCGTTGGCCACCACACACGCCAACACGCACAAGATCGCCCTCAACAACTTCAGGGTAACATGGGACACTTTCAGTCACAGTCTGACCTTCATTTCTGACTTCTGTTTCCAAACCTAGTGAATGGACTCATTGACTACATAGACAGCATCCTAACTGAACCAGCACCTTACATACATACACACATATATATATATATAGTATTATATATATGTTGTATAATAAATAAATAAATAAATATATATATACACACACACAATTCATAATTAA